GCAGTTTGTATCAGAACAAATACCACAACACAATTCACACTGCATTCAAAACAACATACTACAGGTCAAGATGATCAAGCAAGTCCAACACAAAATACCAACGGGCATCATCCATTGCGAAGATCACTTCCCGAACCGACTCACGTGGTACTGCCCAGCACTATACCACACTGCCATACACAACACTTTTTTAGACAAAGAGATTTTTCGGATGTCGCAGCGCCAACCTCTACAACACCACTTCGATGTCTACACAGACATCCGCAGTCTTCTACCAGCATACACATGGGCGTTTCCACAGTGGGGACGCATCCCACGTGCCTACATTTTACCGAAAAGAAAGAAGCAATTCACAAAAGGACGTCCTATAGTGGCGTTCATCGACACCATGGGCAGGAAATTATGGGAAGCCTTAGCAGACGTACTGCAGCTGATGACCCTTCAAGCATGCCCAAACTCCTTTCACCAAGGAGACGGGATAACCCAGCTCAAACAAACAGCGCTCTTTTTGCATCAGCGCAGGAAACTACACGATTCAACAGATTACATCCTGTACAATCAGGATTTAGCTGGCTTCTTTACATCGGTCGATCAAAGCCGGTTTCTTTCAGCATACAGCATCATGGTTCGATGGTACAGAGAGAAGAACCCACTACACTCTTCCAAATTCTTCATTGACCACTCACAGAAAGACCCCACACATCGAGTCCACAGAGGTAAAAGCAGACAAAAGCAGCAGGAAGCCTCCTCCGGCAACAAACTTTGCATACAATTACAACACATACCACAACTCATCATTGCAGTGCTCAGGCTCAACTATTTCACTGTCGGTACATCACTCATTGAGCAATTTCGTGGAGCACCTATGGGCTCGCCCTGCAGCCCAGCTTTATGCAACATCGTGGTTGCTGTAGAAGAGCAGTGTTGGCACCACACATACAAGCAACTTTTCACGAACCACAAGCATTTTCCAGACCACAACAAGCAGGATCAAGCTTACTTTTTTGCTACCAGATACGTCGACAACCGCGTCCTTCTATTGCCTGCACAGCTGACCCGACTGCCTCCTTTTGCACAGCTTACTGACGCATCTTTCTACAAACCACCGGTTCAGCTTGAAACTGAACCGGCCAACATTTTCCTGGGTTTCGCCATAAACCCTCAGCACAGCAGCCTTACGCATCACTGCACTTTACACAAGGCGGATATTTTACACCCACAGTCGGCGACCTCTGTTGCAACACTTCGCAGCAGTTTTCAGGCCCGCACACGCATGGTACGCAGAGTGACAACACCATGCAGCGAGGCCACATCAGCCATTCGAGCCATGCGCGATCTGTACATCGCTGCCGGCTATACTGATCAACAGCTGTAAGCAAAAACACTGTGCCAAGTTGCAGTGCGTGCGTTCAGAGCCATGCAACTTTGCAACATGTGAGACGCCTTGTACCAATACAGTGTTTCCCGCAGCCATTTACAGGGACTAACTGAGGCATCATCATGTATAAAAGTGCCATGACTGGCAGATTGCAGCCGAGCCACAAAGCGCTGAGCGGCCGTCCTCGGCCATCCATCTCCAAGCATAGCAGACGCCGCAACGAGCAGCCTGCGGTTGGCAGCCACACTCAACAGCCGGCGCCTTTACGCTCTCAGTTCCTACGTGTCGCAGAAGACGAAGATTTCCAAGACTACCAAGAGCAACACCAAGATCCGCAAGAACAGCAGGACGCAGCAGTGGCTGCACCGGCGACTCCGCCATTTCCACCTCCGCCGCATTCTGGTCCGGATTCATCGGCTGAGATTATTGAGTTACTAACACAGTTTCACAATTCGTTGCTTGAATCCAATGCCAAGCTGGAACGCTTGATACAGCAGGCCACAACGGTGTTGACTACTCAACACGAAGCCACCACTGCCATTATGGCATCATGCAAACAGCAACTTGATATTCTCGAGAGCCTTATGAGGCAAAACACACCAGACTGGTCCTGAATGTGCTGCTGAATCCGCTGGTATAAAAAGAGCCAGGTAGTGCACACCTCTTGCATTTGAACATATGTTGCTTGCAGATACGCACCATAACTTCGCCTTCTGAAGTTTTTATGCCTCAGAGTGACACCTATTGGAATCCCGACATAGAGCCATGAGTGAAGCATCTTTTCCGACAAACACAGCGACTACAGCTTCGCCACCCATCGATGAGGCACGACGTGAAGCTCTCTCCGAGGCCATCATGGAGATTTTGACACAGCATCGGGACTATGATTCAGAAACTGGAAGTGAACCTTCCACATTCAGTGACGGGGCTCTACGCGACCAATTAGCCGAGTTTATTCTTCAAACAACTCGGCAGATCACAGAGCTAAAGCAACGAGTGGAACGACTCGAAGCTTCGCAACAATAGGTGATCAACCATGCTCATACCGTCATCGGGCGCTTTGCAGCGGACGGTGAAAACAATGATAGTCGTTTTTGCCAATTGTTACAGTCAGTGCACTCACTTCACATATGTTTGTTATGCAGCGATTGATGCACTCTTTCCCGCAGCATTTTGAAAAACAACCAGTTGTGTTAGCACCATGGAACAACGCACCAGATCGCGATCTCCGACGGCATCACAATGGAGATGGCATTGGGCCACCAACGGCTCTTCATGGTGGCGAGTGTACTTTATTGCATCTCAAGAGTGGATACGAAAGCATTCGGAGCAACCTGATCAGCGTCCGACATCAACGACTCCTACCCAAAAGGAGACAGTATCTACTACATCAACTCCTACATCCAACAAGCGAAAGAGATCAAGATCTCCGTGAGCAGCATTGCTGAGTTGACAATTAGATGCACATTTGCTGCCCCCGGCAGCCAACAATCACACAGCAAAGCTGTGCTTCGAACTCCATCACATCTGATGAGGTTCAACATTAAGAGCATCATGTCGAAAGTTCATGCAGGTCTGCGCGGTCAACTGATTGATGTCTCTGTGTGCCTCTCTCTCTCTTCTGAAGATCTACGTTTGCACATGCCTCAATGCAGTTGTGACTCCGCAGCCATTTCTCTAACCTACAGTTGCTGAAACACATTAGGACAGCTTTGCACACAAATGGACGAGGATGACGACAGCAGCCTATGGGGATCCGAAGAGATTGATGCCTTCTTGAGGAAGGACGACACCACCAGATCCTCCCATGCAGTCAGCCACACACACAAGCAAAAAACAAAGCACACAACGAGGACAAAAAAGAAGAAAGACAACAAAGACAAAAAGGACAAAACAGTCAAGAAAACAAAGAAAACACGCAACATCTCACCACCATCCCAATCCACAACACAGCAACGACGCCAACATCCACATACTACAAGACGAAAGAGGACACGCTCTTCGCATTCAACATCATCAGCATCACCTACGGCAACGTCACACCTGGCTGAGGACCAACACCGGTCTCCATCTCGAGATCCTTGGTCTTCTGACTCGATTGCACCTTACGATATTGTGCATCCTACTATTCAGCACAAGCGGTCCAAAACCGCTTGTGCAAAAATGCTGGTACGTGCAGGATTCAGGTGTCGCTGCCATTTCAAGATCATGAGTGACTGTCCCAACAGACTCGCTGTTGGACCCTAATTCTCAGGACGGATTAGTGCTGCAAGATCCGCTAAGCGTGACAAAAAAGCCTGCTCATAAGAGCGTCAGGACGACACCGCTTTGTTGTTTTGCCAGAGCACACATCATGTCCATGTTGATTTGCATTCATTGTTCAAGCTTTTGTCGGTTGGTAGCAGCAAAAGTATGACAAAGCGAAAGGCTGCCGAGGCCGGCCTTCCATGGTACTCCATGGCAGGACAATGTTTTCGGATGACTGTTGAAATTCCACCCGACCGCATCACCAGAGACAAGCACATGTTCTTACACGTGGTGCTTTGTCTGGGCGACAACGTTCTCCAAGCACGCAAGATCTTCTCCTACCGCATCAAGGAGATCACCGGCAGAACTCCTGAAATCCCAGCTTTCTTCTTCGAGCAAAACCGACGACGACTACATGATTGGGATTCAGTCACCACATTAGCCACGTTGATGCCGGTGCTCTTTGTTAGAACCTGTTCGGATCAGGAAATACGACAATCACCCGATCGCTATTGACAGCGAGAAAAGTGCGCCATACACTCCTATTGCCGTGCATCAGACCTTTCACTCTACTTGAAGCATGTACGCCCCATTTGGGGCTGTGTGTGTGTGAACCTCCCTAGCACATGGGAGCAGAGGGTCACTCCTACACTGTTTGCAATTTTTGCTTTTCAACATAATCAGACATTGGACACTAACCAAATCAACTGTTGCAGGGGCATTGGGCACTCCTTGGCAGACCCAATGCAACGAAGCTATGCCATGGAGTGGGAAGCAGTTCAGGACGCTGAACTGTGTACCTGCAAGCTGGGCCCCCTGAGGCAGCCAGATTAGAAAACGCTGGCCCCCTGAGGCAGCAAGATTAGTACATTTACGGTTTCCACCTTTCGATTGAGCATAAAGCTTTGCACGTTTGCCGCAATCTGACAAGCTTTTGCAACAACATGCCTCTCTTTTTCCTCTTGCACTCGTACTCTTGGCCGAATCCATCAGTGTGTGTGTGAGGGTGTGTATGTGCGTAGGTAATGTGTTCACCGGTGGCTTGAGATTAATGTCGTTATGCTGTGATAGCTTGTTAAGGAACGGGCTAGCGCATCTCTGCCAGCCTGTGTTTGCAGAAAGGCACGCAGCCAGTAGACGTGCATGAGAGCAAAGAAACAGCCAGAGATTTAATGCACATATTCACACTTCCTGCGTGCAGGCCAGACGACATCAGACTACACGTAATTTTACACGACAGCAGGCCTAGACACATAAGTGCAGCTACGCATACACACACACATGCAGAGATAGATACATGAAGTTGCCACTGACTTGACAAATCGGTGCAGATAACTACGAGCCCAACCTCCCATCAGTCCTTCCCTGGTCTTAGGAGGGCGTGGCCCACATCTACAGCCTCGCCAACCTGCGCTTGGCGGGTACCGTGAATATCCCAAGAGCACTGCCAGAAGGTGCTCGCGGGTTGGGGATGAGGGTTTGCCTGGTGGTTAGGCAGGTTTCGGGGTTATGCAGTAGGTCCGGGGTTTTTGGTGTACGTCCTGCAGCCACAAAGGGAGCAGGTCCATCTTGCGTTTGGAATTTGGAATCGATTGATTGTTCTCAACACGAGCACGGCTTCGAACAAACTTTAGAAGATCCGCCAGGTGAATTGCAGCATGGATCTGGCCTTCGGCACATGAGGTGCCTTGCATCCTTTTTGCTTCCGGTATGGCGACTGCTGGTGCCTGAGAGACAGATCAAACCGGCTGGTGCAGTGCAGGTGTCTTGTGAACGTTTTCGAGTTGGTTCGAGCACGCAGGATGATTCAGATTGCGGCAGAACCACTACTTCCTGTGACGTTCCTTGGCATGGCTGGTCGCTTTGGAGAGGAAGCGAGATTGCACAGGATGTGGGCGCCTGTCAGCGGCATGACGGTGTTCGACATGTCGCAAGAGTGCACGACCTTCTCCTTTTCGTGGAAGGCTGCTGACCATCGACAGCCAGTCCAGGCTTCGCCTTTGGGGTCTAAAGGTCCATGCCTGGGCCTCAAAATCCAGTGCTTTCGTCGCCGCTTTGAGCCATGAGTTCTTGCTTGAGGGGTTGGGTCTGTCGGGTTCGGTGCTTTGGGCTGCGTTGACATTTAGCGTCAACGATATCCAGTCTATCAAAGTTGATCCGCATAGAGGAGAGCATTCCATAAGGTTCTGAAAGGGGCCGTGCATCACGTTTTTGTGACTATGTAGCATCGGTACAATCGCGCTTGAAGGCTCAAATGTGACTGCACCGATTCCACTTGGAACAGCAACCTTTGAAGAAACACTCCTCTCCTCCGCAACCTACGCCGGCGATAGGTTCGAGTTTGAGATATCCTGTCATGCGCAATCTTAATGCAACTACGGTCCAAACAGTCACCACAAAACCAGGTTTAACAGTAAGCTCAAACAACAGGCTTTCTGTTCTTTTGCCATCCAGAACCACAGGCTTCAGCCGTGGTCCTGCTTGGCCGTGCCGCGGTTTCTGTGTATTTACAACGGAACCCCCGTAGCGGTTCACGACTTGCGCAAGCTGACCTGGTTCTGCGATTCCGGACCTCAGGTCCAATCGGGCCGTCTGCAGACCTTGAAACTCCTGCAAGACGCCCGGTTGTTTTGCAGCTTTGCGCCGTGGATTTCTGAGGCGGATCCACCTTTTGACGGAGTGTTGTATCTTCGTGCTGTCATGGTATGAATATCCTTCGCCACAGCCAGCCGGTGCTGCTGGCTAGTGCCACATTGACAGACCTGGGGCTTTCTGCACACGAGGCTTGATGCAGGTCAGCTGCGAGAGAGCGCTTGCATCCCTGCCGAGTGGTACAGTCAAGCACTCAGGGAAGCCCAAATCTAACCGTACCACTGCTTCACATCATGGTGCGTGTGGAGAGACGTTGGGTTACGAGGCGTTTGTGCCCGTTTAGTAGTAGGCCGCGTCATTGACAATTGTAGCTCCTGTCAACTCCGTGGAACTCTGTCGCCGAGATCGCCTCAAGCAGAAGCGCGACCATGAGGTCCATACCCTCAGCCGCTGCGTGTTATGCGACACCGGAATGTCACACAAGCATGATCCCCGTCTAAGTAACGCAAAGTGAAGGGAAGTTCCGTGCGGAGTGGCGGTAGCACATAGGCAGGCAACAGCAGGCAGTCTTTGTTCTGCTAGCTTTGCCATCGCAGAAGATGCACGAGCAGCGGACAGGCGAAGCTGCGGAAGAAGAAGCGTGAAGAGGAGATGAAGGCTGCCAAGGCGTGCACGTTTGTTCTTGTGACTCCATGTCTTGTCCCTGTGATGCTGTCCTTCTAGCCGTGCCTCGCTATGCAGAGGCCAGAGCCGGAAAGGATGAGACGGCAGAGCAGAACCCGGAGGTTCACCGGCCGGCGCGAACACACGCGCGGCGCTGGCCAGGCTCCATGTTTTGCATGGAATTGGTGCTGTGCTGTGCAGGCAGAGGCCCAAGAAATGGAGGGCCAGAATCTGGATGAAGGCGCCTGCTGCAACAGCATCACTGGTGGCCAACGCAAGTCGCATGTCACAAAAATCGATGTCAAGCTTCGTCATGCCAAGCATGAACTCGCGAGGCTCCCAAGGGGAGGGAGAAAACCTGGCCACAGCCTTGACTTCTCTGGATTCGAGTTTCCATGTAGGCACCATATATAGACTTCACCAGGCTGCAGAAGCGCGTTGGACCAGCACCGAGTCTGTACGCGCAGCCGCCATGTCAGCTGAGTAGCTGTGCTCCATTTCTCGCGATGGTGGCGTACCGTGACTTGTGCCTTCGAGTGATGGAGGCCTTCTAGGATGTACGATCGCACGATGTTTCGGAGGCTGCATGTGCGCATGTGCCACCACTAGAGTCACTAGAGATGCTCTTTTCAGGCTTTCTGAGCAAGGCGAGGTAGCCTCGGTCCATGTTGATGCCAGTGTGGCAGCGCTCGCCAGGCATCACAGCATTCGCAGCCCTTCCCAGTGGCCGTAGCCCCAAGAGGGGCCACTGCCATCATGTTCTCAGAAGCCTCGAGCCTGGCAATCGTTGGGGGGCTCCCGTCTCTTTCCGTAAAAACCCCCGCTGGGCAAGTCTCTGTCTCTGCAAGCGAGCGATCCTGGGGGTGGCATTCAAGTTCTGGCGCTGCTTGGGCCCCCAGCCCAGGGGTCTGTTTTGGGCTCGAGCACGGAGAAGATTCTTTTTGATTGGTGGCGGGGATGCTATCAGCAAAATGCGCCGATCGAAATGCAATCAACAGTTTGCCGCTATAGTCCAGGATTTCCCAGCATCTCTATGCCTTTTCCAAAGCTCATCCCAAGATGAAATCTCCCGAGCTCAAGAAGCAGCAGAAGCCCAGGTCCTGTGCAGCTGCCGATCGATTGCCTGGACAACCAGCCCTTCGAAGGCCTTTGCTCAGTGCTCAGTGCGGTAGAGACCTGCAGAGACCGCTCCGATGGAGGACCGACCACGTCGGCCACGGCTGCGGCCCAGGAGTCGCTTGGACAAATTTAAAGTGGACTCCGTCCCATCCCCGGCTCGGCTGGTCCTGTGTGCGTTTCTGCCGAGGAAGAACACGCCCTTCTTCCAAGCTAAGGCCGACAAGGTGGGACGGCACGATGGAAAGTTGCATTCCCCGGAAACTGCAACTCTTGGATTTCTTCAGAAGCTGCAAGTTCAACGGCATTCTCGACGAATTTCCTCGGAGGGAACTATTCTGTTATCTCAGCTTGTGGTGTTGTCGTCCCAGCAAGGTTTTGGGATGGTGGCAATTGCGGGTGCTGCAGTCTTGGATCAGGCATCTGAGAAGGAGCCGCCTTCGTCACTCTTCATCACCCAGCCTCCAGGCGCGGAGGGAAGATAGAATCGTGCGAGATTGAAATGATGTGACGTGATGTTGCAGACCCCCTGGAAGGCTCTAATTCACTGCAGTATCCTGAATTCAACCACAACCTCATCTCCGAAAGCCGACGCGGAGTTTTGAGCTTGTTTCCTCCCTGTCTTCAGGTGCAGCTCGCATCCTCGGCAAGGCGGGCTGGGAATTCGGGCCGTGCCGGTAGGAGGATGTGTCTTGAAGTCGGCTCAGTGCCTTTCAGGGTTTGTTGAAGTGCCTCTTCTGGTGGATGCAGTTGGAATTACTTCGTTTTGGCCGGAGGCCTTGACTGCAGATGGATCTGGATGTCCAAGCACCATCCGCTCAACTCCATCAAACGAAGTGCCGAGCCTCAGGCCGACGAAGAGGCTCCGGCAGAGGAGTTCTCCGGCAGTGACTCCGATGGCGATGCTACGGCCTCGGGTCTACTGCAGCGTTCAGGCGTGAGGTTACCGAGGTGAAGAGATACAAGGATCAGCGCATGTGGTGGGCATCGGGGCATTCAAAGGATCCATGAGAAAGTGAATGAGACTTTCAGGGACCCGAGCTTGAGTTATTTTAGACTCGGGCTGCAGGCCTCGGTGGTCTGTGCAAGATGGGGTTCGTCCAGATATGTTTCGGAAGGGAGACCGTGAGGTTACCGAATTCCATGTCCGACAAGATCTTGCAGACACGATTCAGCTCTGATGATAGAATTCACGCAGGGGCTCTGGCATGTCATGTTCTGGGTTTCCCGATTTTCTAGGGAGGGCAGGAGGTCCAGCCTAACGCAAGAGCAACTGACACTCCTTACGACCTTGGCCCTCCGGCACATGAGTGGCAAACGGGTCTCAAAGCAGCTAATATTTTTTGCTTTCCTTATTACTACGATGATTATGATCATTACTATTATTATTTTGACTCTTATTATTCTTGTTATTACTACTAGTATTGTTCTCATTACGATTATTATGTCCGCCTCTCGAGCTTCCGAGCAGCCCTGCTCCCAAGGCTGAGGAGATCGTGACCCAGCGGTTCGCTGAAATGCCAAGGCTGGTCTCGCCGAATCGCAGATATAAAAAACAACAAAAATACTAGTAGCAATACTAATCATCATGGAAATCGTAGTAATGATAAGAATAGCAATCATAGTTGTAGTAATAAAGATAGTAGTGACGATGATAACAATGATAAGAATGATACCAATAGGTCTGAGTCTGCAGTGGAAGTCTGTGATACGGTCTCGTGCGGGTGCTGACACTCTGATCTCTACGGAAGGCTGCCGTCGTCGGCGCCCAATGCGCTCATGCTGGGCGACTCTGTCCAGCTGTCAGATTGTCTAAACCGGTTCTAGATGCAGACCAGTGTTTGTTCATGTAGGCGAGTGTCATGTCGTCAGAATGCAATTCTCCCACCCCATCATCCTGATTTCTCTATGCCAGGCCGCGGCGGAGTCCCTTCGAGCAGCCAAAGAAGCAGTACGGACCTCTGGAAAAGTGATCTCTCTGTTTGTGGCAATCCTGAAATCAGCCGAGGCAGCCGAGGAGCTGGGTGGCTCCATTGGCGATGGCGACTCGCTGGCTGGACTCCCAAGCTGGCAAAAGCCAAGCTGCATGTCTACAGGAGTATATCCAAGCTTGATGCTCCGAGCATGACTCCCCCCTACCTCGAACCCTCGAAGCTACAGGTTGGTGCACGGAGCTCGCATCGGGAATTTAGGAGACCTGGATACTGACAGCAGCCAAGCCTGAGGTTTTTATCGCTGATTCTGGTGGCTGGCTGTGGTGCCTGGACATCGAACTGACCTCGGTGATGATTGTATCTACCGCAGCACTGGCCCTTCCACAACCGGATATCTGCTGCTATTTCGCCGGCATTTGCCCAAGCAGCCTCGCGATACGTCGTTCGAGGACCCTCAACTGGCCGAAGCCCCAAATCTTAGCCCAAAGCCTTAAAGTAATAATAATACGGTTGATGATATAAATCCTGCACTACCCAGAATAAGAAATATACCGTAATTCCCATAGTTTAGGGTCCTTAGGGTAATGCAGGATTTATATCATCAACAGCAGCATTAGTAACAGGAATAGCAATTGTAACAGTAATAGTTTCTTGTCATAGGAATATGTGGTAACAGGAATAGTAATAGTAAGAGTAAAGCCCCGGCCGAAGCTCCCAAGCCCAATCCGGGCCCGGGTGGGCCGGAAACCTCCAAGGCCGCCTCCCTTTCTGCTGCGTCCTCCTTTGCGCCCGTTGTTTGGCGCCCATGGGGCGGATGGGAGGTTTTGTGGAGCTCGAGGTTTTCGGGTTGCGAGGTCAAGGTCCTTCGGAATGGGACGTTTCTGGGTCACGGGGTGCTTCCGCCAGTCTGCCACCGTTTTCGTGGTGTCTGAGCGCGGTTGAGGCCGTAGCCTTGGATGTCGCCATGGTCGCGAAGGCTTTCGTTCATGCGCATGGCCACCCAAGACTGCTTGCAATGAGCCCGCAGGTCTGAAGTTGTGTTGCTGCACTAGTGAGTGATCATTAGACCAGCTACAACATGTCGAAGTTGCAGGCGCACGAGGAGATGATGAAAGATCGCGGCGAAAAGCGCAACAAGAGGCATTCGCGCGATGATCCAATGCCCTTCCAAAGCTCGCAAGATACTGCAGAGCGAAAGTAAACACATGGGCACTGGGTAAAGACACTTACTGTAAATTGAGTTTGGGCTTTCCTTAGACTGCGGAGCTGTCTGACTCAGAGACTTGCTTCCTTGCAGCACCCGACTTGAAACTTTCTCAATGCCTTGCAGGCCAAGGGGCTGCTTGATTGCAAGGAGAGAAGCTGCACTTCCAAGAAGCCTTGGGAGGCTGTTTGGTAAAGCCTCCAAGCCTGCCTCAACTCTCATTTGCCATGCTATGCTACCCGAAGCCAAGCTCCTGCCACCTTCCCGCCTTGACGGCAGCGGTTCCTCTGAGGCACCACCGTGGCTGGCTTAGTTGGCTCACCGCAACCGTCATAGCGCGACTGCAGAGACGGAAGGAGATCCTTCGTGGGTGCGAAAACTACTGTATCAGGTTTCTGTATCAGGTAGGTGAGCTTCTGGCATGTTGGGCTGGATGCGACAGGGGTATAGAGTTGACGCACATGGTGAAGGGGTCGGTTTCAGCGAAGTTCCCCAGCATGAACGTTCTGAGGTGGATCCCCGCATCCAGGCCCAGGTGGCGAACAGCCCCGCTGCAACTGGCTTGCTGACAGGCAAAACTGGGTCACTCTACAAAACACAAAGTAGATGCGTGCCAGTAAGTAAGTATGCATGCGTGCATATGAGCTCATATATGCATATGCTTAGGTATATGTACATGTATGTGTACATGTACATGTATATACATAATATGTGGATGTATATGTATATGTATATATATGTATATGTACATGTATGAGTATTTGCATTTATTTGTGGGTGCGTGTGGGTTTGTTCATTTGTTTGTTGGTTGGATGGTGAGTTGGTTTGTTGTTTGGTCTGTTGGTTTGTTGGTTGATTTGTTGATTGGTTGTTTGTTGGTTTGTAATATCTATATGAGTCGACATAAGCATAGCTACAAGCATAAAATGTGTGTACATATTATGTGTATATACACGTGCGTGCGTATACTTTGAAAAAAGCATGCACACATGCATGCCGTTCGACCCTACCCCCGGCTGACTGACGACCGACCAAATTTCACCGATGTATGCACCTACGTCGTGCACAGCTAAACATGTAATCACATAGACAGGCATACACGCATATATACTTACGTACATACGGTACATACATACGCACATACACACCTACAGACATACACACATGCAGACATACAGGCATATGGTCAGGCGTCTGTCTGGCGTTCCCAGCCATGGTCTGACAGGGGTGGGGGGGGGGGCTGGCGTGTGCGGAAAGGGGTTGGGGCCGTTGGAGCTGCCACTGGATGGTGGGGTGGTGCTGGCGGCCAGGGCTCACGCGCAAGCCCTTCGCAAGCAAGCCGTAAACCTTATGACGCAGCGCTTGCCCCGGTTTACTTGTACTTAAAACGCTACACCCAACCCCACCCAACCCTAAACCCCACCTAACTGCAGGCTCTAAGCCTAAAGCAGAGCATACACCGCAAATCCTCCCTAAGCCCTTGTCGACTCGAAGCCTTATACCTTGTAGGCGTAAACCCAAAACTCAAAAGCTTAAGCTAAACCCCCAAACCCCACAACCACCCGCAGGGGGAAGAGGAACCCCACATCCCACACCACAGGGGAGGGGGGGGCCCCGGACCATTGACCTTTGGGGGGGGAGGGGGGGGGGCTGCGGAGCGCGTGACCATATATGCAAATATACACAAGCAAAGTTTCGCTTGACATTTTGCAAATACAAACAGGTAGGTACATTTCCGGACGCGGCAAGGCATCGCTCGCAGGGCGATGTGATATCGTATGGGCAAGAAAGCAGCTATCATTCACGACAAAGAGTATCTTGAGAGTTTGCGGGGAGCTTCTTCGGCTCCTTGGCAGTGCAGGTCTCACTCAGAAGGATGCCCGTGACGAGATTGGGATCCTTGTGGGCCACGGCCTCGGCTAGGAAAGACTACGGAAATTCAAAAGCCAGCGCTACTTTGCATTGCATGTGCTTCTTGGCAATGTTGCTTTAGTTAGAAGATCATCCGCCAGAATGCTTGGAGCATCATACCAGGAACATGTATTTAAATTTACAAACGCGGAGTGGACGCTTTTCTTAGGTGGCACAGCCTCTTGGCACACAGTATCCAGTAGCTCTTCTTTCCTACAGCGGACATTCGATTCAACCCCGGAAACTCAGAACTGCAGCCATAAGCAATTTTGCCACCGCTGTTCCGTCACGGGACCAGAAGGTTTGCTTCGGTACGGCAGCGATCGGAGCGCCGACTGTGGCTTGGGCTTTGCCACCAAATGAAATGGAATATGTGGATACCCAGCGGCATATGGCATTATTGGGGGACACTTCCCGGCAGCAGAGGTGTATACACCCAGAACCTCTTGACGGGGCCAAGGTGTTCTCCGGGACGGTTGCATGTATTGCTCTTCTTGCAGAAGTGCAACACATGCCACCGTCCCGGAGGACGTGCCTGATGGTGACAAATCAGCTCACTTATCGCCCGCAACAGAAGAAGGCTCAGGAGAGGCTTTGTTTGCGGGACTTGGGAGTCAGCATCTACGCTCAAGGATGTCACCGTTGTCGAGGAAAGCAGCGATTACGTGAGTTTGGCGACACCGACATCGACACAACAGCAGGCGGCTCTGACAGCGTCTCGCATGCTGCAGGAAGGTCTCAGACGCTGTCCTAGGCAGTGCCAATGCTTAATGGGCCCAAGGCAAGCAGGGCAGGAGTGATCGCTTATCAAAGCTGCATTGTCCGCCTTGGGCACATTGCGATTGTATTCATCCGAAGCGCTGCAGCGATTGAAGCTTGGCATCATCCTCATCATATGTATAGTAGCCATGTGTAGCCGCGTCTCGTAGGCCCATGTTTGCTGTTCGGTGAGGCGACGGCAGAGCGAGACGTGGAGAAATTTGAAGATCTGTCGTAGGGTTCTCTCCGAGCAGCAAGCCATGACGTGCTAAAGATTCAGATAGCTCCTGGATAAGACTTGCAACTGAATCAGATGCCGGTCTATAAGGAGCTGCAGCTGTGGGAATCTAGAATCGCCCAATCCAGAGTGCGGCACAGGTTCAAGGACGAGGGAGATGCATCTTGAGACCTTCTGACACGAGCCGGCACGCATCGGCAAGAAACGGCCCGGGGTCGGTGAGCGGAGATTGTTAGCATAGCAAAAACTCCCTACAGATGCGCTCAGATCCGAAAGCCCTGAATCCTGAAGCTGCCCGGTTCCGCCATAACTTGGCCGAGGCCTGCCGCCGAAGCAAAGACCGGAGGTGCTTGAGTCGAACGCGTCCGTGCATGAACACGTCTAGTGACGGGTGTGGTTCAGTGGTTGGCAGTGATCGTGAGCAAGATCCGGAAGACACAGGGTCTTCCCGCGATTCTTGCGGATAGTCTGTGCGCCCTGCGAAACCAGGTCAGGTATCGATCTGCTCGCCTTGAGACCAGACTCGCACCAAAGCCAGCAACAAGACCACTGGAGTCATCAGATGATTTGGCTAACGTCTATTCAGCACTCCCAGCACACGGATCCTGAGTATGGCTCAGCATGACAATCGAGCCCCAGGCACACGAAAGCAAGCCTTGGGAACCGAACCTTGCATGCTTACGTAATACATCGGCTGCAACACTGCACGACCAAAGCGACAGCAAGCCAGGCCGTGCAGGTTGTGGGCGCTTGGCCAGCTCACAGCCAGGGAGTCTCCTCGCTGGTGCGCCTGGGGGTATCGGGGATGAGTAAGACAGTGTGACCCCTTCCATGAAAGAGTCAGCAGGAGCTTGGAAATCAAAAAGGCAGGTTGGGTTTCCCCATTCGAGAATACTGATGCCCTCCGCACTTTCAGCTCAGGGGCCCGCAGGTCATAAAGCGTCTAAGAAGCATGCCACCACCGCCCCAGTCGTTATCGCCAGTGACAGCAGCAGCTGAAGTGGCAATGCCGAAACCGGCACCGGCCGAACGACACAACAGCAGCAGCAGCAACAGCGCCAATCATCTCAACACTATAGCATTGACGACGGTGCAATTATGCTGCTGAAGATGACAACGTTCACGATGATGATAATTATGATGCTGTTGTTGCTGCTGATGATGGTAACGACGATGATGATGGATATGATGAGCCAAGGAAGATCGCAGAACGATACCGCCGTCGACCTCGTCAAGAATAGGAGTGGCAATAAAACTGACCATGATCGTAACAGCAAGACCAAGACTGCGTGCATGGCAGGTGATCAGCGGCAGCCCTCCGGCCCTGGTCTCTGTGGATTCGGCGAAAGAGGTCAAGGCGCTCTGGACATCTGCGGGCCGCTGACATTGGTGCAAAACCCGTCGTCGACGCTTCAACGGCCATCATGATCATCGCGGTCTTCGCTTCCATCGTTGTCGTGGTCACCGTCCTCGTCATGGTCCTCGTCGTGGCGGTCATCGCACCCTTGTCGTGGCTGTCGTCGTGGCCACGCTGTTTAGTCTTGTGCGCTCCCTTGCACTGTCCTTGACTCTTGCTTGTTTGTCTCCTGTCGCCGTTGGCTGCGTTGGTCCTTTCTGATTCTACCTGCTTACATGTCCGATCATTGTCAGTTTCGTGAACCTACACTGTTGCTTCTAGCCGGAAAGCGATCTGGAGGTTTGGTCGACGACCGGCGACATCTGGGGCCACTTCTCCATGCGGAGTCTCGTCAGCAGAACTCTGCCATGTCTTTGGTTCAAGGTTTGGGAGTTCCCGTTGCTATCGCCGCCCGTGGGATTTTCTTTGTAGAAAGCTGCGGAGCATGAAAGCCGCAACGCGGAGGAAAGTGGACTCAAGACCTTTGCCCACCGCTGCGGCCCGGCTACACTAGATGCGCGGCATACGGCAGCAAGCAATGCAGGTAATCTGTGCTCATAGTTCTGAGCATTCCTGAAGGTCTGGCCACCACCCCACGTCCTCGCCGTTCAGATGTCGCTGATTCGAATCGCGAAGGCTTGACGGTTTGTATGTGCGTGTCAAATCGCCTGAAGGCGATTCGCTGTAAGCTGTGAATCCAAGACGATCCCTCTCCTTGTCCTCGCCTCCTTGATGCCTGAATAGACAGGGCCTCTGCCGACGCATGGGCTTCTCTGTCTCCCACGCAGAAGAGCTCCTTGCAGCGCAGCAGCAGAGGACCTGGGGGTGAGGGATGCTGTGAGGTTGATTGACGCGGCAAAGTAAGAAAAGGTACAGAGCTGCCAGACGTGAGCAACACGCGCTCATGCCTCGAACCGTCGTAGGGCCTGGGGTTAGGGGCGGAAAGGCTCAGGAAAACGACCAAAGGCAAGAAGCACGCGAACGGAGTGCTTAGATGCCTTTCGCGCCGAACTCATGTTGAGCAGAGTTCCTTTCTCAGGGCGACGCCAAAGCGCTCGGCACAGCGGAGTGGACGCCCGAGTACGCTATGACACTATGGATTCCGGAGTCCACCACGGACCATAGTCATAGCTGCCCGGGTTTCCCCGTGATGCTCTCAGGCCTCAATGCCACCGAGAGGAGAGCGCAGGCAGGGCGCTTACGTGCGAAGTCCAGAGCTTCAGAGTGCTTCCGTCTGAACTCCAAGCGGACCCAGTGTTCATCCATGTCTATCTATCGACCTATCTACTTACGTATAACTACAACTTAACATGTAAATATGTACACATCTATAGATGAGGATCTCAGTGGCAGAACTTTCGGCCGAAAAGCTTGCTTCATGTGGGAGCCATTTTGCCAGATCGCTGCACGACGGGCCGCGAAGCAGCGCCAGGCTGTAGGGCACCTTGCCGAGCTCTGCATCTTCTGCGTTCTGTAACTCCGACGTAATGGCCATCATAATCATCATCATCATAGTACTAATAGTAATAATAGCAATAGTAGTAATAAATGTAATAAATGTACTAATAGTAATCATAGTAATAGTAGCAATAATAGCAATAATAGCAACAATAGCAATAATAGCAATAATAGCAGTAATAGTAATGACAGTAACAATAGTAATGATTGAGCCACTCCAGTAGTATTAGGAGACCCTCTCAAAAGGGACCTTATTGAGAGGGTCAATTTTTCCAAGGGTCCCCCCAATCCGAACTCCGAGTAACTTGAAGAGCGCATCGAGGGTCATCGTCACGGAAAGCCCTGTGTTAGCACTGTATGGCATAGCCATCAAACAGTAACTCAGTAAGTGCGACAGCACAGCCTCAATCACCGGAAGTGGGGGACTGAAGAGGGAAAGGCCAGCTCGTCCTTTGCTCATAAAAGTTTTTTTATGTTGGTCCTTCCCGTGCAAGGCTTCGTGACCTTGGAATGCGGGACGCCAGGAAACCCATGTGTCAACTTCTGCACTGCTAGCACCTGGCTGAGGGCCTTTGTTCCTACCTCTCGAAATTTCCGAAGTGGCCACACGGCTCGTAGTTCAACAGTCTTCAGCCACGATACCACTTCTGGGTCTCCAGAAACCTGCATGTAGGGGGTGAATCGCGACAGCCCTCTGCTCTGTGACCGTGCCAGGCCGCCGCAAAGGTTGGGAGCTCAGGGATGATGCCTGGTTCCTGCCTCCGAGAAGCGGATCTTAAGGGTTTAGGGGTTGAGGGCTTAGGGTTTAGGGTTTAAGGTTTAGGGTTTAGGGGTTTAGGGTTTAGGGTTTAGGGTTGAGGGGTTCTTAAAAACCGCTACCTTGTAGCTGCACTCCGTACTGCGGCCCAGGCCGCAGAGATCGTTGCAGAAGCGGAGGACGGGCTTTGGGGGAGTCCGGGCAGTGCTTCGGTTGATGATAAAAAGCCTGCATTAACTTAAGGACCCTAAACTATGGGAGTTATGGGATACTCCTTATTATGGGTAATGCAGGATTTCTGTCATCAACCGTTCGTCTTAGTTGAAGGCTTCCGAAAACTAGGGGGGGCCTTATTTTGGGTGTCCTTCTAATAAGGATCCTACTATTTAGGGTACTATACTCCCAGATAGCTTCACCTTATTTGGGGTCCTTATGGTAAGGATCCTAGGTCGGATCCTGCTATTTAGGGTACTGTAGTAGGGTCCCCTAATTTCGGAAACTCCCAGTTACAGTTGGCTTAGTAGGGCTTGAGCTGAGCTCTCACCTCGGAGGTGCCCCTGATCTCTCCGACGGGCTGGGAACTGAGAACTTGTACTAGCAAGGAGCAGTTTTTTTTTGAGAGCGTGCTGGAGTGAGAAGCGTTGTAGGTTGGAGCATAGCTGACGAACTTTGAGCCAATCGATTGGCTGGCGCAATTTCTTTTCCTGACCCTAGTTCGCACACACTGTCTGCGCATTTGCTTAAGACTGCTCCTTCCAGGTGAGGACAATGGGTCTTCTGCACAGGACTCCGTGGATGCAGGCCGGGGTCCATAGAGGTCGCAGTTATGTTCGGCCATGATATCTGATAGCCGTTGCTATCGAAATAGAGTGCTTGCGGGGTTTGCTCCCGAAAGGCATCGAGGAGGAGCTTACCGTGTTAGCAGCTGGAGGTTCGCGAGGGGAAGGTTGCACAGCGGGGAGATAGACAATCAGGCATGCATTCTGCACTTGTTAGCCGATTCGGATGAGCTGAGCAAAACCCTTTCGGAAGTGAGGGGCGTCAAAAACAGTCCTACCCACGGCCTTTGAGGCCAAGCCTCTCAGCGGCATGTGGAAGAGGCCCGGTTACTGCGACCGCCCAGTGACGTTGACTTTTTCTCCAGGCACGGGCACGTGGAAGGTCACACAGGCTTTCGTGGGGGAATGAAGTCTTTAATTCCGCTGCTGTATTGGGCTTCGGGTTTAGGGTTCTCATAATTATCTTTGTCATCATGACTGGCTGCCTTGCAGGTGATGCCGCCGCCGGTGCCCGAAGGCCCGGTCTGAAATGACATACTTGATCCGTCCATGCATGCAAGCATGCACCGAAGCATACATGTATCGCCTGGTTGCTTGCATGCATGCATATTTTCGGTACGGCCTCTCAGCGTGCCCGGGGTTCAGGGTTTCCCAAGCTGGTAAGCGAAGAAGTGCGGCATGCTATCTTACGCCAGCTTGAACCTCAACGCTGGCAATGCTGCTCAAATTGGAAGATCAACACCGTGAGAGGTAGTTTCAGAGTCTCATCATGTTAGAACATCCAGGTATTTACGTACGCAAAGTGAGCACGCTTGGCTGTGGTGGCACAGCCTCCCGGCACATAACCTCTGAATAGGCTGAAAAGATGTTACTTTCTCGTAGGCCGTCCTTCGACTCAGCCGTGGGAACCCTGACCGCACAATGGGCAACTTCTGCGACTGTTGCGGCGTCAGGGCCAAAGGGCCGCAAGGTTTGCCAGGGTACGGCAGCGGAGGTACTTTTGAGTGTGGTTTCGCTTTAGGCAAAAATGATAGGATTAGAATGGAAGATGCCATTGCAATTCACAACGATATTGGGGGACAACAGGTGCGCCGCTGTCTTTGACGGCCACGGTGGCGACAAGGCTGCCAAGCTCGCTCAGGAACTGATTCCACAGCAGCTGCATCACCATCTTCAACTTGCGACCGACAAGGAGAAGGCCCTTCTCGATGCTTTCGAGGCATCAGACGAACGCATGCACGCAGAACTGGCGGACGAAGCGAATTCGTCACCATCGGGCACGTCTTCTGGAACGGTTACATGCGTTGCTCAGCAACGCATGTAACCGTTCCAGAAGACGTGCGCGATGGTGACGAATTCGCTTCGTCCGCCCGTTGCTCTTCTCCAAGAGAAGGAGCTCGTGATTGCGAATTTGGGCGACTGCCGAGCGGTGGTATGCGACGGGGCCAAGGTCTCTAGCAAGACCGTCGATCACTCGCCTGAAAAAAATGCAGCAGAGAAGAATCGCCTCCAGAACCTCGGGGTGAACATCGATGGAGGCTATGTCGACGGAAAAATCCAGGTCTCGCGTGCATTTGGGCACATTGAGAGAGTGGTGGGAGAATCAGGCCTTTGATTTTCCCACCACTATTGCTCTCAATGTCCCCAAATGCACGCGAGAGGTCACGATTGTTGCCGTGAAGGACAGCATGGAGTTCGTCGTCCTGGAGTATGGGATGCGCTGCAAGAACAGACTGTTCTAACAACCGCTCGAAAGGTGCTGCGCGAAACTCGATCTTCCGAAGCGGCCGCCCAGGCAGTCTTGGAATCTGAAAGAAGGGTTTCCAAAGCGGACAATGCGGCTGTCATCGTGCTCGCCATCAACATTCCTGAGCCGCCTCCAAAGCGCGAGCCCGGGCAGTGGAGATTGAAGCTAGGCTCCAAGACGGAGTAAGGCTTATCCTTTGCATATGCATGGTAGCCATTTCTCGCAGGCCTGTGTCTGCTGTTCCACGAGGTATCGGCAAAGCAACATGTGAAGACATTCAAAGAAAAGATGTGCCGCCAGTCTGACATGAGGCTTTCTCTGCTCTCTGTCTGAGCAGCCTAGTTCTGTCCCGAACAGTGAATGGCAACTCCCGCCTTAGTTGTCTTTCTCGTTTTTCTCAGATACTCGAAGTTTTCGCACAGGCGATGCGGAAGTGGCGGAAGCGCATGAGGAAGGCGCTGCAGAGGCTCCTGAAGCGGGCCCCGAGGCGACCGAGGATGCCAGGCCCGGCAGTCCTTGGGAGCCAGACTCAGCTAGACGTCTTCGTAAAACTCATGCGCGAAGTAATAGGTTGTAAGGAGAAGGGTGGCAGAAGTCGCAAGCATCGTCGCGGTGGCGGTGGTGGCGATGGTGGTGCTTGTGCTTCTTCTCGCTTGTTCTTGCTATTGGTCTTGTTGTTGTTGTTGTTGCAGTTCATTGCAGTTGATGCTTCTATCTAGTATGGTGAGTAGAGAAAGACTAGTTGCAATCGTATTCTTCAACTATTCGCACGCATCAGCAGCAGTGGCAATACCCATTCTATTGCAAAGGCTGCAGCAACTTCACAGTGAAAGCAACGGCCGGGGTAAGATAGGGGCCGAGACTCAGGTAGTAGTGGAGGAAGAAGCGGAAGCGACACAAGTTTGGTGGTGGTATCAGGTATGGATGGAGAACAGATTGTGACATGTCCGCATGGTTCCAAAGGTTGGTATATATGTTGCCCATGATCATGATGACGGGGACTCTGGTTGGGATGCGGCTACTGCCGCTGGTGCTGATGGTTTATGCCATCAAGATGCGGCTGATCATCAGAATGCGTCCTTGCAGTTGAGCCGAAAGCGCTGTAGAGGCCGGAAGAGGAGGAGGATGAGGAGGAAGTGGACGTTGCCCAGGCCTTTGGCCTTCGCCGAGCGACTTTTTTTTGAGCTTTCTCAAGCTGCCATGCAGGTGAAGAGCGATGCAGTCGGTCAAGGAGCGACCCGTCGCTTCCGTGGAAATGTGTATCCGCATGAGCATTGGTTGTGCCGGCCCAGTTCATCCGCTGCGCTACATCGTCATAGCATAATTATCTTGTTGGTGTCTCGCACTGCTCGTTCTGGACCACCCTTGGGAAAGTCAGGCACACAACCGGGCGAGAGGAGAAGCCGCAGGCGTGTACCAACCTTTGGCTTGCAGAGTAGTTGAAGTGTTTTTGGCTCTGCTTCCTCTTGATGATGCCATGATGCTCACACTGCTGCTTCACGTAGTCTCACACAGTGCTGCAACTCGATCCGTGTCCAATGCACTGTCGGGCTCCTTTGCAAGGGCATTCACGCAGCAGTCCCGGACCAAGCTGAGTTCCAGCACTGATTGCTCTTGTGGCATATAGGTGCAGATTGCAGATCATTTCCTTGATTTAGGTCGTTCAATCGTGCTGCGGTGCGTGAGGTGATTTGATCACGTGTTCAGTTGCGCACAAACAAGATCATTCCCAGTGAGCTGTGTAGGTTTACCGCAATACAGCACTCCAAATTCAAAGGAGCCTCTGAAATCGTGGTTTCGCAGAATCTGACTGGAGCTTTTGGAAGCTGATCGTAATTACTCTTCTCACTGTCAGGTAGTAACTCTACAGCCATTGGCTCGCTCAGCTGAGAACTGGAGCTTGGCTAATGCTAGCGAACCAGGCAGATGCGCGAGATGATCCGCAACCATGCATTTTCCTCTGGGTGCTGCTCTTGAAGTGAAGCCGCAGCACCATGTTTCTGGTGAAGCTTCTTGATCTTGGCATGTCAACTTGGGAGCAGAGTTTAGGTTTGCGTAGGTATGTGCGCAGACCGCTTGGTTCTGAGGTTCCAGAGCTACAAGCAGTTTGCCGCTCGACCCGTCCCGCAGGATGACGACGAGATCAGGCTCTGCAGGGCCGTGGAAGATTTCTCGTGCCTCCTCGATATTCTGAAGAACACCTGTAACAGTAATAGCAATAGTACTCGTAGTAGTAGTAGTAATAATAACAATAAGAATAACAATAATATTATTATTGTTGTTATTAGTAGTAGTAAGAAGAAGAATGATAGTCAATAGCAAAGCAATAATAACAATAACAAGAACAAGACATACAGTAATAGTAATATTAGTCGTCTTATTAGTAATAGCATTAGTAACAACTTATACTAATATTAACAATCATAGCGATACTGTCACTACTACTACTACTACTACTACTACTACTACTACTACTACTACTACTACTACTACTACTACTACGCCTACTACTGCTACTACTACTACTACTACTACTACTACTACTACTACTACTACGCCTACTACTGCTACTACTACTACTACTACTACTACTACTGCAGGTACTACTACTACTACTACTACTACTACTACTACTACTACTACTACTACTACTACATCTACTACCAACCACAATTTCAATAACAACAGTAACAAGAACAATAACAACAATGATAAGAATATCGTACTATTAACCATACCAATGATAGTATTGCGCACGTGAGGCCGCGCCGGAACTCCAAGGAGCGGAATGAGCCGGTGCGCAAGCGGCAGGAGTTCTTCGGGTCTGCAACTTACCTGGGATGCCGAGCCGTCGCTGTGAGCATGTGACCACAAGTGTCCCTACAGACATCTGTCTGTCCATCCGTCTTCTAGTCCGTCCCTCCATCCATCCCATACAGGCATGCACCTTTACATGCGTACAAGCATGCACGCATACATGCGTACATGACACGACATAACATCGCATGACATGACATGACATGACATGACATGCTTACGCACATGCAGACTGATAGACAGACACAGAGAGACGGAGACAGACAGCGGGGTTGTGCAAACGCGCGAGTCAAGGGGACTGCCCTTGGCTCATGACCCTGCGCAAAGCAAACAGACAGCCCAACCGACCGACCCACCGACCGACTGACCGACTGACCGCCAGACATGCATCAGCACTTCACCTACGCATGCACAGCCACATACATCCATGCATACCAGCATCTAAGCATCCATGAATCCAAGCATCCATCCATCCATCCACCCATCCATCCTGGGCTGTGGTATTCGAGTTTCGACTGCTTGACTTGAAACGGGTTCACAAATCGTCCTGGACCAAGACGTAAGCCGGCTGTCTTCGGGGTGGAGCTTCTTACCGATGCTGAGAAGGAGGCTGGCCAAGAAGCCGTTCCAGCAAGAGTTTTCCTTTTCTCATGCTTTCCGGCCTGCTGTCATTGCCAGGAATCATGCAGAGTGAGCTATGTCTGCTAGTACCCGCAATAATGATAATCACCATGACATGAATACAATAGTATTTGTAGAAAAATTGCAAATGCGAATAGCAGTCATCATCATCATCGCCTCACCATCAGTAGGATCACCAGCATTATCATATTAGTCTCAATAGTCCAAATAAATGATATTCAAAGCAGTCATTTGCTAAACGTAAGACAACCAGCTACTACCAACAATCATAAAAACCATTAAATTTCTATGACGACGACGACTGCAACTGCTGCCACGGCTACCGTTACTGCTATTGCCGCTGCTGCTTCTATCGCTGCTGCTGCTGCTGCTGTTGCTGCTACTACTATCCCTACTACTATTAAGAAAGATAAGAAAATGGGAATAATAAGAATAACAAGAATAATAAGAATAACAAGAATAATGATAATGACAAGAATAATACGAATAACAAGAGTAAAATCAGAGTAGCAAGGATGACAATAACATTACTAGCAGCAACTGGAAAATTTATTGTGGCAGGAATAGTCTTAGCAATGGTAATACTAACAACCACATGAGTACTTTTTGAAATAATGGAGCAGAATAGTAACAACCGAAAAAATGACCTGCTCAACAGAAATGTTATCACAATTCGCAGTCTCTCAGAACAAAGAATAGTAAGAATGCTCAGAATAGCAGGAGTAATAAGAATAATAAGCATAATAAGACTAGTAAGGATAAGAATCTTATTGAAATCCGAATAATACAAGACTAGTAAGGGTAAGAATATCATTTAAATCTTAATTATATAAGACTAGCAAGGAAAAGAATTCTACTGAGCTCCTCATAAGTTGCTGATGATGGCCAGGCTTGGGAGGCTGGCGTAAAAGGCCTCGGCCAACGCTCTGCCTCGGAGGCGGTCGGCCGTGGAGTGGATCGGGTCACTCAAGCGCTGAGGATCATAGTGTTTAGGGTGTTTGGGGTGTTTAGGGTTTAGGGCTCAGGGTTTACGGTTTAGGGTTCACGCGGTTTAGGGTTTAGGGATCATGAAACAAAAGAAAGAGTTTAGCAGACGGACGGCGCAGAAGCACTTTGGCAATTTGTCCTCCCGGATGCCAGGGTGCCCTCCTGCGCTACGCGCAGAATCGTGTGGAGGACATGACGCGATCAGTCTGCCGGCCGCACGTGTAGTGCAGCTCAGTTCCCAATTGCGTGATCTCGATCCCGGAACGAAGGTGAAGAAGTCGCTGGGCGTGGACGTCACCCAAACCACTCGACGGAGGATGAGGCGATGTGTGGCCTTTCAGCCGGCACATTGTGTAAGCAAAGTACACAATATTTCCTAATCTGCACCGAGATGTAGGGAGCTTCGACACCTTTCAGTTGCAAGCATGGCCCCTTCCCCGTCGCTGCTCCGGCTCGCAGCATCCGAACAGAGTTCTGATGCTCTGAAATCAAGAGCCCTATGTGCGTCTGTACCAAATCCGCAGAGTTGTTCCCCGGCCGCAGAGGAAGAGAGGCAGCGTTTCATGTGCACCTGCTATAGGGCATGAGCCCTCCTTAAACCTCCACGCCCGTGCAATTACTGAGGCTACGAGAACACTTGATAGGATGAGGTCGGCATGGTCGGGGCCCCGCTTGGAGAAACGTTGTTGACGGACTTGGATCTCATATTGACTTGATTTTTCCTAGCTTTTGTCTGGGGAGTTGATTTTGTCTCAGTGCGAAGTTGCAGGGTTTCAGAATTCAGGACTGAGGGCATCGAGTCGATGCAATATCTGCGCAGAATCTTTCATCCGCCGGCTTAGGGCACGAAGGGCCGCGGGGATTCGAGATGTATCTTCGTTCATGATGGGCTACTCTCATCAAGCCATAGCTGCCATAGCTGAAGCATGATTCCAGCCCAGCTTCAATACCTTCATCACCCTTGCCAGGGGGGACAAGGGGAAAGGCGGCAACAACTGGAAGGTCCGACACACGACTTCCAAGGCGATTGGGCTGGGGATCGTATAGTATCTCCGGAACGGGAGGGCATGGATGCTTGAATTGAGAGACACACGTGTGGTTTCCGCATGTCTGTGCAGGCGAGCGCGCCTGCGCGCGCTCGTGCGTGCGTGTTTGTCCGTGTGTGTGTGTGAGAGTGTGAATTGGAGGTAGCGTAAAGAAGTTTGGAAATCCTTTGCTCATCACTCGGTGGGTTGGAATTTAATCGCCAGGCGGCATGGAATTCAGAAGAAGGTGGGGACGCAGCCTCAGTTGTCATCCGCTGAGTCAAGACTAGGCTAGTTGCTCTTCGTGACTTTCTGAAAGGTTGTTGTTCACAGTTTTAATCGCTGTGGCTGCAGAATGCAAGAGTTGGCCAAGGAAACAACCGTCGTATTGACACGCCCCCTGGCTTGGCTTTGTTCCCTCCTCGCCTTCTTCGCTTTGTTTTCGACACGGCCTGCAGGTCTTCCGAAGACTCTGAATGCAGAGATTCTACTGGATTTACTGGATGAGCTCTTCCCCCGCGCATATGACTACTTCTATTTGCCCATGGCGGCTTGGCAGCATTTCTCCGATCGAAGGAGAGGAGCTCGCATGGCAAAGGAACTCGAGGCCCTTCGAGGTCCATCGTCGACCCGAAGCGACTTGAATCGACTCTGAAGAGTTTAGGTCCAGGTCAAGCCATATAGGGGCCTTAATAGTTAGAATAGGGTTTTGGGGCCCGTTATACTATAGTTGTAATCAGGAACCTCCAAAATAGTACAGATAAAGGAGGGTTTTGTTTCTGATCCTTCACGATGCAAGGGCTATGGCAAGGCACCCTCTTTCGCAGGCCTGCTCCCCTTGTCTCTGTCTGGGCTCGGGGCTCGAACCGCTCGCGGCTTAAGCCAAACTGGCTACGGCAACACGGTCACACTCTCTCTTTTTGTTTTTTGTATTTTACTTTTTTCCTCTCTCTCTCTCTCTGCTGAATACTTCTGAGAGTTTGTCCGAGGACATGGACAAATTCGAGAACCAAGGCTTAGCTGCTCGGCCGAGTCGAAAGCTTGCCTGAGGTGCGGTGAGTTTTGTGAGTCTAATGTCTTCTTTTGTGACAGCTCAAATGTGACACGTCGCTGTCCCAGGCTTACATTAATTTTCGAGATCATGAAACAGCTGTGCAATGCCTTGGCCTCGGCATTGCAGGCGGAGGGTTCGACAAGGCTATCTAGGTTCGTAGGGAAGAGTCTTAAAAACTCGCAGCAACCGGCAACTGTGCACGACAACTCCCCGCACTTTGCTCTGACGATTCTTGTGAGCTGATTCTGGTTGGAAAGTCGCAGCCTGTAATTAACGCTGGAATCTGGAGTCCCTCAACATGCATTCAAGGTACGTAGTCGCGAGCAAAGCTGGGGTTGCAGTACAAGCCACGAACAGAATCATCATGCTAAAGCGAACGTGTCGGTCTTGTCATAGCATCGAATCTTGAAATCTCCCGCACGACTGCTACAGGGAGATTCATGTTGAACCCTTCTGACAGGAGCCCTTCGAGTTCAAGGGTTCAAAAATCCGACATATCTTGCTACATCAGCCGAGGCCAGAACCACTTCGAGGGCGCCGACGACGCCTGGCATTCCTTCTTGCTATGTGCGTGCGTGCGTGCGTGCATGTGTGTGCGTGCGTGGGTGTGTGTGTGTGTGTGTGTGTGTGTTTGTGTGCGGGGAGTTCCGAGAATTCTGGTGACATGTTTCCATGCAAAATCCGATTCTACTTGGCCTGCTCTTAAACTTGCGTGCAAGTTGTTAGGAAGGCAAAATTTTCATCTTGTAACGGAACTTATCGGAACCCCACGTGTTGCTTCTGAGGACTGGAAAGGACACGTTTGCTCCCCAACTGCAGTGGTCCACTGGTGCAGCATCTCACTTCTCCCCATTGTTGGGCCGTGCTTGGTTACGGCTTGAGCGGTCATGTCGCGGATCATGTAGCTTGTCCTTGCTGCGTGAGAAGTGAGGCGAGCGCCCTTGCAAATCAGAGTGGTCCTCCATCCAGGGCTATGCAGCTTGTATTGAAAAGGGGCCAGATCGAGTCTCCACTTGGGCTGTTGGGTGCGAATGCTCGGTGCATTCGTCAGGCTGCAAACATTGAGCGACAACAGAGCCTTTGGCAGCACTGCAGTGGTTACTCTTGAATATTTTGCATACTTCACAGCCTGAGCCCAGCCTTCATCCCGTCCAGTTGTTTAAGGGCATGACCAGCCGAACCGCTGCAGCAAAACTCCACACCACCAACCTTTCCTTAGAACGACATGCGCTGTTTCGTGGCACAGAGATGCAAGTTCTCGACCTGTTGCAACTTGCAGCCACTTTTTTAGTGACCTTTGTAGTAACTTTGTGGTATTCTACATCAGTCTGTATAGCAACATTCTGAGCAAGTGTAGCAGTAACCTTTATGGTGAGGGCGCAGTGGCCGGGCACGCGTGATGCCCGGGAGAATATTCGACGCAAATGAACTGGCAATGATGCAAGCTTGTAGCATTTTACCGTGGAGCATGCTTCAAGTGTTGTCATTCCTGGCAGAACAACCCTCGCCCTGGCCCAGTTTTCCTTGAGTTATGACATGAACTGTCCAACAAGCAAGTTATCAGATAGTGTCTTCCGCTACGCTTTGACTTGATAGTGTTGTGTTTCTCCTCACAAGTAGCAGCTTGTCGCCCAACAAGATCGAACACGTGTGGTGAAACGGCGTTCACTGCGCTCCCCCGTAGTTGCCCGCAAGGAGATCAGCTGCAGCTTGGGTCACCATGGACATCCCCGAGGACAGCAAACTTGAGGGGACAGCTCGTGCAGATTCAGGGAGGGAGTCTTGTCCACGGCAGCTTGAAACATGCTGGCTTCAAAAGAGGCGCCTCTGCGTGGATCATCGTGCCAGTAGTTGTGTTTTTGGGAGATCATGAGGACTGCAAGCCTATGGCCTTTGATGAACATGGACTCTTGGGCTGTTGATCAAGCACTTGCTGTTGTGAAGTAAAAGTTACCTGACTCCCGAGACCTGCACCCTCAACCTCAGAAGCAAAATCCGCTCAGGAAGACGTCTCCCAACTTTTGACATCTTTCCTGCATCAGCGGTCGACACTGGAAAGGATAGCAGGTCTTGGAGGACTGTGAGCTACAGCAACAAAGAGGAGGCGCGGTCCCGTCAGTTCCGGTCCCGCTCATGCCCGTGGCCTAAAGGGAGTATGCTGCGCAGGTGGAGTTTCGGGGGAGCACTAATTTCCTGCCCTGTCGGAGTTCACAGCTTTCCGTCAGGGCAGCAGGTGGTGGAAGGACCAGTGGTATGGTGGCAGTTCCTCTGAGCAGCATGATGGAAAGAACGGGAAATCGCGTGGATGGTATGACCCACGGCTTCGCTTTGCAGACTTTCTGTGTATACGTCTTTGCAGCGACATGCAACCGCTCTTCGGTTTAGGTGGTTGATTGCGGACCCCTTCCGAAACCATGCTGAACATCTCCTCACATGTTTTCATAGAAAAACTGACCGATTCGGTCCGCACCATCAACGACATGCTGCGTCCCCTCCCTGCAGCCTGAGCATCACTTGTGCCCGACGCCTGTGGAACTGTAGTGAACTTCAACATCTTACCAACAGAAGCTAATAAGTTTTTGTCATCGCGGACCCGAGAAGACAGGGCTGATCAGGACGGCCTGCTGCTGCTGCAGCTGCAGCCGCTGTCCAAAATGATGATCGACAAGAAAGATGACGAAGAAGCAGATCATTGTCATGGTGGTGGTGGTCATTGTGGTAGCGGTGGTGGCAGCGGTGGTGACGGTGTCCCTCTCTCTCTCTCTACTCTCACTCTCACTCTCACTCTCACTCTCACTCTCACTCTCACTCTCACTCTCTCTCTCACTCTCTCACTCTCTCTCTCTCTCTCTCTCTCTCTCTCTCTCTTCCCAGTTCGCGAAATCACCTTTCACGCGTGTCGTCGCCAGCTATTTCAAGTCTTCTGCTGCTGCTACTGCTCTTGTCCTTGTTGTAAGCCGTGCGTGCATATCTCCAGGCATGCATTGAGACTGCTTTCCCACAAAGGACTCTTGGTCGCGGAAAGACGACGACTGGCGTGACCACGGCTCCAGATCCAAATGGAACGATGAGGGCTCGTGGAGAGACTGGACGAGACGGGATGATGACTGGGATGATGGTGATGCTGCATTCTCCGACACAAGTGCCTTTGCTCCACAAGTATGAGTCGAGTTGATGGCTTTCTCTGTAACTTCGTGAACTTTCAGGGGCATGGGTCAGGGCAAGGCAATGCGGTTTTTGTCT